ACCGCGCAACCCCCTCCCCCCCCCCCCCCCCGCACGCGCTCGGCTCTCGGCTTGGCTCCCTTCCTCAGCGGGCAGACATGCCGCGCATGCGCAATGAGTTAACCTTCAACCAAGAACTGCGCATGCGCCATCGAGCGGTGCTGGGGGAGTGTAGTGTGCGTGCGTGGGGGGAATCCGTGTCGGTGGCTGCGGCTGTCTTGAGCCCACGCGTCTCGCTGGCGGTGACGCGCTGGGGCGGGGGGAGGCGGTGCACGGTGCTGTGTCCATTTCCACGCACACGGGCTCCCCACGCTGCATCTCCCGGGGGTTCTGCCCAGCCCAGAGGAGAGGTGCCGCCGCCCCGCTGCGCCTGTCTCTGCGGCCAGCAGCCGCGTCTTGCAACACAGTGAGCCCCGCACAAGGAAGAGCGCCTGGCTGTCAGAAGCTGGTCTCACCATCCTTTGGTCCCGTGAAAGCTCTCCCTACGAAATCCCTGCCTCTCGCTCGCTGCTGGGCCGTCACTGCTACACCATCGTTCACACTGCAAAGACACCCCCGTGTTGAAGCAAAGTGGAAAAGCTAAAAGATGCCAGCGATGACACTTGCCTTTTACGTGAAGAAACTGCAAGTCCAAAAGGGAAGCCGGGCCAGCCCAAAACGGCCTGCGGCTGGGGCGCTCTCCTGCGACCTCAGTCCTGATTTGGCCGAGGACTCTGCTTTTTTACAGCATTTCGTACGTTCAAAACCCAGTTCCAAAGAAGTGTGGCTCGGCGCTCAGCCTTTCTGCACGCTAGCTCCTGCCAGCTTCTTGCAGACCACGCTGAGGGGGGAAACTAATTGGTGAACTTAAGTTAAATATTTGATCGTGACAGACATGCTGAGCACTGCATCGGCACTTGGCAGAACTGGCAGAATCCCATTCTCCACGGTGTCGTTTAAAAGGCCTAAAACTTGGGAGTTTCTCTTGCTGGAAGGCCTTGCTTCCTTACCTACTCTCCTCCCATGCTAAAGGCCAGCCCCTTTGCTACTACTGCTGCCCCAGTCACAGTGCAAGGGCAAGAAAGGCACCAGCCACAGGTTCTGACTTAGACGGGGCTCCGGGCGTCTTTCCCATAGCAGGCAGAGAGCTGAGCAAGCACAATGGAGCAGGTGCCAGCACCGAGCCCAGCAGTGATTTGGATGGTGAGTGGAGTGTAGTGATGCTCCCCTCCGAGGCTTTGCCATGGGAGGTTCAACCTTAAGCGGGCAAATAGGGCAGTAGGAGCCTGTACTGCTGTCTGCATCTCGGCTGCAGTATCCCAAGTTCATATTGCTAGGAGACAAGCAGCAGGCTCCTGCTCAAGTGAGGAGAGGTGCAGGTAACACTTCCCAAATCTCGCATTGCTGTAAACCGGGTATTAAATAAACAACTGCAGCAGTTATCTGTGATATACTGGGCAAAAATAAAATCCTAATACTGACAGACCACAAACCTGTTTGGAAAACTACTTATATATGGTTAGAAATACTAGGGGGAAAGCCAATAAGCCATGTTCAGCATGTCTGTCATGATCAATTTTTTAGAAAACAAGAACTTAAATGTTTTTCAGTTTGTATAAGGTAACACAGATTTGGTTCTTGTCGGCAGTAATTGGATTCACAAATTAAATTTAGACTGGTTTAGATAAACGTGGTAATAAAGGTGATTAAAATTAGGGGTATGAATCAGGAAATCCTGGATTCTAGTCCTGTTTTTGCCACATGCAATCTGACTACCTACCATGAACACCTTGTTGTAAAATAAGGTTAACAGTTCTCTAATTATCTGTCAAGAGAATTATAAAGATGTGTTGCTGTTGGTACAGCTCAGAAAATATAAAGTAGTTTGTAAATGCTAAATATCATCACTAGCCTCATATATCAACTGTACGCTAAGTGTCTTGTTAAAACATGAAGCATTTAAAATGACTGAGGTAAAAACATATTTCAGAAAGAGCCATTAAAAAGATTTTAAGACCAACCCACTACTTTGAACTTCAGCTAGAACCACAAATCAAATTTATGCAGCTAGAAAACTCTCTCAAAATTATATTTTATGCTGCATGCAATGTCTGAGTAAGCCGCTAAACAAAACCAATTCTTTTTGCCAGTTGCAAGATATATTGGTCACAATTCTTTACCCAATTCTTGATTTCTAAAGAAAATCAGGGGGCTTCTTAACCCCCTGTGGGGCAGATCAGGCCCCTGCAGCCCTGTCATCTGGGGGGCTCCCCATGGGTCTGTGAAAAGCCCCATGGGCCAGAAGCCTGCACATTAGATTGGGCACATCTAATGGGGCTCAATCATATGGGAGCTCAATTAGATGGACTCAGTCCTGATGAATGGAGCTGAATTGAGGTGGCAGAGCCCTGATCCAGGGGCATAGGCTGAATGGAGGCAGCATGGGGCCCCAGAGCTGGAGCTGGAAAGGGGCAGTGCAGAGCCCTGGGATCTGATCCTGATATCCAGAGTCAGGTGGGAGGAGCGCAAGGCCCTGGCTTTTGATCCTGGTATTCAAGTTGCATATAGGCTGGCTGAGGCCACATGGGGCCTGGTCCCATGGACCAGCCCTACACCACTCAGCTGGCCCAGGCAAAAGTTTGAGCACCACTCTTCTGAAGTATTGACTCTTACTGCAGGCTGGTATTTCACAATGAAAAACATGCTCCCTAATTAGTTCCATGGTGTACTTAATGGAAATATAATATAGATGTGTATGTTAGGTGTGAATGATTACAGGTTTTTCCTCATCAAAAGCAACCACCTCTGGGAATTGCTATAGTTTACTATCAATGTGATAAGTGAAAAATCTAATAGTTATTGAAAGAAATCATGCTATAACTATATTGAACCTCTCCATTGCAGAAAACCTGAAACTATGATGTCAATAGAAATAAAAAGGTTGGGTTTTGTTTTATTGTTCACAAATAACTTCTTTATTATTTAGTGAAACTGTTGAATACTGTGTGTAATGAAAAAAGCATGAATGAAAGTGTAAATCATTCTTTGCAATTTGCTGTGTACAGTAGCCTTCATTCCATGATCAAATTCTTGCTTAAGTTTCAGCAACCTACATTTAATTATCTCTTTTTTTTCCATTTTAAATTGCGCTTCACCTCAGTAGCCTGTGTCTATAACTGAATTAATATCATGGCTCCTGCTAATGCATCCCTCTGTTTGACCTCTATCACCTCAAGTGTAGTTTGTGTATTTTTCAGTGCAGAGAGAGAGAGAAATGCTGACTTCACTTCTGTTCAAGCATGTTGAGTTTTTCTGCTCTTGACCCTCCAGAGAGTGTAAATGCATGCATTTGTCTTGTCCCCTCAGTTTTAGCAGAGTCAATAAGCAAACATTCTTTATCACCAATTATGCTGAGGATTTGCCCTGAAGTAGAGGGATTGTTTCCTTTATGTAGGCCAGGGCTACCCAAGTGGCAGTCCATAGGCCAAAGCCAGCTCATTATGTGGTTGAATCAAGTTTATATAGCACAGCATAGACATATCCAGGGTAGCTTTGCATGTATTAGCTCTGGAAACAGAATAACTGCAGTTGTACTGTGCAGTACCTGAAGAAGTAAACTTCTCTCAGAAGTTTCCAGAAGCCACTAATTGCTAGGTGCTTCAAGTATTGTACCAGAGTTAATTCAGTCCTGGTCATTCTGTGTTCTGGAGTATTAAAATTACCAATACTCTTGCTCACAGCATGAGCTATATGCGATAAAGTGATAGATTTAGTAGAAATGTACATTCTTATACTGACATTGAAGCTTCAGACAAAATCCTGACCCTGTGAAAGTCCAAAAATTCAGCTTTTGTGTTTACAACAGATATATCAGGAAAGTTCTGCTCCTTACACAAGGCAGTTTTAGTTTTATTTAAATACTGTTCTAGATACAGTTGTTCACCACAGCTCTGTCTGAATTCTTTGAGTACTAATATAGTTTCCTCTTAAGGAGTCCAAGTAGTCTAATCTGTAAAGCAACAGATTGAAAGCCATAATGATGCTGTTTCTAATCCTTGGTGATCTACCTAGCGACTCCATGACCTTTTCAAAGGCCATGGGCACAGGAACAGAGGCAAAGTTGGCAGCAAACTGCATCATAGCATGAATAAGCAGCCTCTGTGTTTGAAGATCCAAGAAATATAGAAGGCTCAACATTTAAGAAAGGTGTTTGAAAATTAAGAATTTCTTGCTCATCCATAGGTAAATTTGCCACTGTTGAAGAAATGCTATACTGTTTTCAGCAGTTTTTCTATCTGCAACAACCTGATTTATTCTGGATTAACCTACTCCTACATCAGTGGCTCAGGTTTCAAATCTCACTGCATGTCAGTTATCCCAAAATAAAACAGGCAAAATGGAGCTGAAATAAATTTTCAGCAAAAATGATGATCAGCTCTGCAAAATACAGGTAATGTAATATAATATATCAAGTTTTTCTTTCTATTTATTTACCTTATAAAAGGACTGTATTAAAATTACTTTTTTCTCTAAAAGTACCAATATCCTCACTATTAGGATCTAGCCTCTCCAAAGCAGTTGGACAGCTGGAAAGGGTGTGTATGCGGGGGGAGCGGTGACAAGGAAGGTAGAAAGAAGTCATTTTTGGTTATTCTCAAGGGCAACAGTCCCAAACTGTTTCAGACCAAAAGGCAGAAGTTTTACAACAGAGGATCTTCCACTTCAAATATAAAACACAAGCATTCAAATAAGAAAGACAAGCATAATCCAGCATTGGTATTGTCTATACTGTAATTGTGTAATCAGATTGGAGGGATTTTTGTTTTGTTTTTGTTCAATTAAACCAGTTCCATAAACAGCTTGAATGGAATAGAAGGTAAAATATTATCTTATTTAACTTTGCATGGTAACACTGCATCTATAGTAGTACATA